CCTCTCACTCGCTGATGAGTGAGTGTCTGTCTGTCTGTCTGTCGTCATTCACCCACCGTACACGTAGGAGTTCTACGATCAGTACGTCGCGGCGGCCCGGCAGTTCGCACAGTGGCAGGAGCAAACCATCAAGAACAACCTCAAGTAGACAGACGGGCGAGGGATGGACGACACACAGACCCTCTGTGACCCTCTGTGTGTGTGTGTGTGTGCAGTATATGGAATGAGGGCGGTGTGCGTCAGAATGAGGAGCAGCAGCTGAGGGAGGCCAAGAGGAAATTCGCCTACATGTGGATGCAGAAATTCAATATCATGTGCGCACAACACAACACGCACACACCGAAGCAAGACAAGCCGCACACCCAAGACACGCAAACTCTCTTCTGCTCTCCCTGCAGGCCGATCTCTCCCAGCGATCGCATTGCGTACTGGGCTCAAGGCAAGCGTCTGACCGGCGCGCAGCCCAACACGACTCGCGAGAAGCCGCGGCAGAAGGTGCAGGGCCTGCAGCAGGACAGAATGGACCACAAACTGGCATATGACGACCTCCAAATCGCAAGAAAGGTCTGCCTGTAAGCCGCCCACCCACCCACCCGGTTTGTCTACTGTGTGTGTGTGTGTTGTGTTTGTGTGTGTGTGTGTTTGTTCAGAAGAAGTATGAGCGCCAGAGCAATGGCGCGTCGATGGGCGAGTTCTTCACGCTCGACTACCACCCGTCCAGCAGCAGCAGCAGCATCGGCAAGCGGCCCCGCGACGGCAGCAGCAGCAGCAGCCAGGACACCCCTGACAGCAACCCGGACAGCTCATCGCACGACAGCAAGAGGCAAAAGGTGGATGGTGTGAATGGCGTGTCGGGTGGTGGTGACGGCCCCAGCTACTCGGCGGCGGCTCGCAAGATGATGGCCAAGATGGGCCACCAGGAGGGTCAGGGGCTGGGAGTCGACGGCACCGGCATGGCTGACGCACTTGATGTACAAGGTGGGTCAGTGACCCACCTGCAGGCACATGAGCGCCCTTGTACGTGCTTGTGTTGATGGAGGGATGGATGTGTGGGTGGATGGATGTGTGCAGCTCGGCAGGGCAGGAAGGGTCTCGGCGCAGACCTGGTGGGTGCGCGGGCGGGTGGACAGACACATCAATCACATCAACCAGACAGAGCGGGGCTACCGTCGTGTTTATACCATCTATGTGTGAGTGCAGTCCTTCGAGAGGCCCAAGTGGTTCTCCCTCCTCGCCATGGACGATGGCACCTCCGACCTGTTTGGCGTAAGTCAGTCGTCAACACACACACACGCACTCACCCACTGTAGAGGTGTGTGCCCTGGCTGCCCACACGCCTGCCAGTCTTTGCGCAAGGACCTCAACAGTCAGGAGTACCACAACTGGTGGGAGCAGTCCAAGCAAATGGGTGGGTACGCCACGCACGTCAGCCACACACAGACGAACAGACAGACAGACAGACAGAGACACACCGCCATGGCTCTGTCTGCCATCACTGCATGGGTGTTCTCTTCTTTCTCTGGCCTCACCAGCCCCCACGTCGCTGCAGCTGTCCAAATTCGCCACCGACCTAGAACCGTAACCAAGCACACAACCGACAAACACTCTCACCCGCACAAGCCGATAACACCGCTGTGCCCCTCTCTCTCCGTGTCCCATTTCTCCCATGCAATGCAGTCTGATCCGTGCGCGTCACGTGGCCCCCCTGACCCTCCCGCCCATGAGCATGGCCGACATGCTCATGAAGGAGTCGTCCCCCCCGCCAAACACACCCACAGTCGACACCGACTTCCCCCTCCCGCCATACGGCGCCGCCGACCTGGCCTGCGTCCTGAGGGAACTCAAAACACGCAAGCAGCAACACACTAATGCCGTGAGTGAATGGGACGGCCCACGGATGGGAGGGCGGTATGGATGGATGGATGCAGGTCATCCACTCTCTCTCTCTCTCTCTCTCTGGGCGTCCATGCCATGGATGGATGCAGTCGTTTTCCTTTTGGCGGAGCTACCTGGATCTGAATCCGAGGGAGGGCTTTCCCACAGTGTGGCTGCTGAAGCGTCACGGGGCGACGGGCAGGGTGCTCTACCGCCTCCATGACGTAGACGAGGACACCGTGCTCAAGCGGCTCAACGGGTACCAGGGTCTGGGGCGGGTGGAGGTTGCCAGGCGCGTGCACTACAGCACCTCCGCCTACAAGGCACTGCAGAAGGTGGGGTGGGAGAGATATATACACACCTGGGTGTTTTGATGAGTGGATGTGTTGTCTGTTCTGTGTTGTCTATTCTGTGTGTGTGGTGATATAACAGATGGTTGAGGACGCCGGTGCGCGTCAGGAGTGTGACTTGGTGGTCATGGACGCGTGCGCCATGCTCTCCCACTGGCGGGAGGTGGCGCACACCGAACTCATCGAACGACTTCTGCTCATCGCACCACTCGTGCAGGTACCTAGCATAGCATCCACAAACACACACACCCCCTCTCCCTCTCCCACTCCCCACCCAGATGTGATGTGTCATGTGATGGTGCACGCAGGCCCTCAACGCGCTCAGGAGCAGCGGCGACCTGGTCATCCGCCTGAGGTCGACCGTCACACGCTTCACGGCCGGCCTGCTGCTCGTCCTCAGCTGTGGGTTCGCCGAGGTGGCCATCTACCGCCCACCCACTCTGCCGCATTGGACGTCCGAGAGATTTGTCATATGCCGCGACTACCAGACGGCCGGCTTCACGCAGATGGAGGCGGGGCTGTTCGTGCGATTCTTCG